GTGAAAGTGTAGGCTGGAACTGTTGGAGTAGGAAAGCGGTTTGTATTTATAAAAGTTTCATCTCCTTGCATCTTTTTAAGGATTTTTTATATTGACGATGTTATAATGCTCATGAATAGTAATCGGACAAGATTCGTAAGGAAGCGGCCCATCGGAATTGTTAAACTGATATTTGTCAGAGTAAAGTAACTTGAAGATTCTAAAGGGTTCTGACGATGGTGTATAACACACAGAATTACTGAGTTTTGGGACTTTTTTCATCGTCCGGTATTCTAGAGAATAGAAAACACGACGTTTCGGAAACTGAATCTGTTTCCATCTTCATGTGAAGGGTGGAGAAGACTCCTGACATCTGACAGGGGCTGTCCAGTGTTTGAGATTAGCTCTTTCTAAGTGGCCCAACCAAGTAGATATACTCTCCCACTTCTCCTGAGGACTCAAGCAGATCCAGTTTCCGAAACGTCGTGTTTTCTATTATCTAGAATATCGGACGGTGGAAAAAGTCCAAAACCCCAGTAATTCTGTGTAAAGTAATTTGTTTAGCGTTATTTCTATTAGCTGACTGTCTAATTTATTAGGTTATTTGATGACGCTGTTTAGACTACATACGTCATGCAACTTAAAAAATGTCACAAAATAACTATGAATGGTGATTAGGTAAAGGTTCAAATATGGGCGGTTATGGCCTACTTCAGTGATTAACCCAGTACTGATCTGAAAAGGCTGAGGAAGACCACGAAGAGCCTTAATCAGTGTAGCCTGCAAGCGTAGCAGGTTTGAAATGCGTCTCCCGAAGTTACAGCCGTTACAGCTATACCAAGGATCTAGGTAGTTGCATTCGTACCGGCGATTCAGTGATCACAGAAATGGCATAATAATCACAAATAAAAACACAGACCAAGCGGGAAAAAAAAAAATTCCTGGACGTTCGTGATTTACTGACACAAAACCCTTCCATTTCATAGCGAGACTGAGCACCTCGGAGCGAAGTAGTTGCTGCCGCTCATAGACCGAAGGTGTCGTCCGCTCTGCGGTGCTTGGTTTCGACCTTCTGTCCGTCTACTTTAACTTATATCTTCCACTAGTGACTGTCAAATACGGCTGTTACGTTGTATGTATTGTCTAA